ATAAAAACTGCATTTTGCTAAAGAATAATAATGTTCGAATGTTTGAAGTTCCATTTGGGTGTGCCAGTGTCAAGTCAGTGTCATTTTTGTAAATTTTTGTCTGTGGTCTATCAGTCATCTGAATGCCACTGGAAGCTTGAATCTGTTAGTGCCTCATATATATATCTTCTCCCTGACCGATGCATGTCTGGCTTTCTAACTCAGTACATTCCGATCGTGCTAATGTCTCTCATTGGTGAAATGAGTAAATATCTCTCGCCACTGAAGAGTATCAGTAATCTCATTCCAATGATTACAGTTTTTTCCCTTTCTATAGTTTATGCATGGATAGTTGAAACTCGAATATTCGGAATTTTGTTTTAGATTCAATGCACATCTTTAAGCACCTCTGCGTTCACTTTCAGTCGGCGAGTGATATCGGACGCATAGCGTGGAAAAATAGACATTTTTACCTCTGTGTTCTGTTGCGTAGGAATAACCGCAATCTGTGACGATCGAAACGGTGATTTTGTTTAACATATGCGATTACTGACTAGCTTTTCAAAACCGTGACTGATAGTTTGCGCAAAGTTTTTTAATTTAAGAAATTTTGCAGTTTTCGTAAACGTCTGATGTTGCTGTTACAGATAATGAATCAGAAATACTGATTTTGATATTAAATGAAAAACTAATCAGGGTTACACCGGATAATCAGCTATCAGATAGGTCAAGACAAATTGCAGCCATAAGACACGCTGACATTGGAAAATCTGGCCGTACACCTCGTGTATTCTGGCATAACTAGCCCAGAATACCATGCTTTCCCTACTGTTCGCAAGTCATCGACTTACTACCCGTTTCTCGACTGGTTGCGCCGAAGCAACGTTGGGTTAATATCTTGTATATTTTATTTGCTTAAGTGCTTAAAGGAATTCGCCTTGAAGGTAAATATTCTCCCTTGAGCAGATTTGAACCTGGCACCTCCGGAGTTCAAACATCCCTCGTAGGCACTGTGCCACCATGACACCATATGTGTAATGACGGGAATAAACCAGCAGGTTGCCCTTCAGGGTGGGCCCTATCGAATTTCCTGATTTAACAGCGAGCGGCGTATGCTCTTTTAACAAACCGTTGGTTAAGATGTAGTCCTCTGTATCATTACTAGTCACGTTTTTTAAATCTTTTGTCTTTTCAGGGTGCCTTACTTGGCCTTTGCCTTGACAATGAAAGCGATCGAAAAGACGTCCGCGCGATTAGAAATCATCAGGATATTGAATAATTTTTTGCGTTCGGTTATAAAGCTGTCGTCAGAGGACTTGATATTTTGCATATATCTCTGTTTGAATCGCCTTGGACCGCTGTACGAAGGTCTTGAACTCGGTGTTGCCGAAACTACCCTCATGAAAGCGGTAGCACAGGCTACCGGAAGGACGCTTGAGAAGGTTCGGGCAGATGTAATTGAGAAGGGGGACCTGGGTACAGTTGCAGAGGTGAGTACTATGATTCGGTTTTGGTTCGTTTTTTCTTTCATATTATAAACTGTATGATTATTGGTGTCATCCACGTAAATAATTAAATCACTGAACATCATTAAACACCAGCTCTTTTAGGAGGCAAAATGAAGGCGAAGGAATTTTAATTTAAAGACTGACCATTACCTCTAAGCTGAAATTTATTAGACCAGGTTTTCTTTTCATCAGAACTATTAAAATATTCTCCATACACGTCTACTGCGGTTATTCAGGATCTGCACAAGACCGGCCTTACGATTGCAGAACTTACGCTGCCAGTCAACAAATACTCAACGTTTTGAAAATGTTCACTGCCGGAATAAAGCTCTCATTGGTGCATCATAACAGGAGAGATTTATGTTTGTTCGAGCATCATTTATGGCCATGCGCTATTCCTGTATGTCAACTACTACGTTTGCTTAGGCTAGTGGCCAACGTATATGTAAAATCAGCGTTTGATTCCGTCAGAAGCTCCCTACAGAAGCATAAGCATCAGGGACTCAGTCGAATATCCCCGGTGGTGACGATGCCTGTTTTTACGCTGCATGTGCTGATACAGACCCTAAAGATTTGAATAGAGAGTGAAGAACATGCACTCTTGGTGGCGATCAGCCTATTCTTTCAAAGGAGTTGACTTTCTGCTGTTAAATTAGGCACAGGCGTCATATCGAAATTTGTTGTTTTCCAATTGCGGACCACTGACCCCATATTTCTTCAACATTTTGAGATTAAAATTCCACCAAGGCACTCTGTGATAAGCTTTTTCAAGCTCAGTGGAAACGGTATATACCTCGTTTGTGTTGTCAAATCATTTATCACAGATTTTTATAGGTGCTTTGTGAATCCTAATTTAAATTCAGTGTCCAGGATCATATAAGAATCGTCGTTTCCTTTGAAAGATGCATCAACGTACTGTAAACATGGTTACTCGCTTGAAACAACTATTCTTATCCTAAACAGTTGAGCTTCACATCGCTTTGCAACCATTGAACTGATGTGCTAATATGCTAATGCATAGTCGTGACATATGATGACGTGATTATATTTGTTATTATGCATAACAATAGCGGTACGTTACTTTCTGTTGCACAGTTTGCGTTTGTTTTTTTTAGAACAGCAGGACGACGCAGAGGACCATGTTTGCAGTTGCCTCGCTCACCGTTAGATCCGTCTTTCACAAGTTGAAGGCAATCGCGAAATTGTCCGGCAGCAG